CCGCCTTCCCCGCCTCTTCTGCTCATAGCGGACACTGTCTACGTGGACTCAGACCAGGAGCGGCAGGAGTATGTGCTCACCCAGCAGGGCTTCATCTACCAGGGCTCGGCCAAGTTCATCAAGAGTACACCTTGGAACTTTGGGCAGGTAGGGCCCCACCTGCCCCCAGCAACCACCTTAGGTCCTCCTATCTGAAGTACCTAGAGATGCCAAACTGTGAATGGGTTGCAGAGTCACCTAGCCCAGCCTGTCAGGGACTCAAGGGCCCTGAAATGGCTGAAGGCTCAGAGAGGGCAAAGGCTGGCCTGGGGTTCACATAGCAGAAGCATCGGCCCTGGATTCAAGGTGGGGAAAGAATGAGGAGAACCTCTAAGAGCTGTGAAGTTGGTAGGTATTCTCAGAGGAAAAGGAGGGTCGAATAGGTTATATATCAGCATAACAGTTGGTACCTGGAGGATGCTGAGGATGTGCTAAGCGTGCCTGAGGAGGGGCTTTAAACCACTGTCCAGAACAGTGGTTCTCAAAGTGGAGTGCGGGTCAGAGCCACTGGGAGAACACCTGAAAGGATGGGCTGCTGAGCCTGCTGTCTGGTGCAGCAGGTGTGGGTGGAGCTGGAGTGGGTATCTCTGACACATCCCCAGGGGATGCCAGTGCTGTCTGGTGAGCACATCTTGAGAACCGTTTTCTGATCTGCTTATAGCAGCTAGCCTGACTGGTCCCAGATGCTCAGTAACAAGCAAGCCTGAAACAGAGAGACTAAGGCAACAACCATTTTTTTCTTTTCTTGTTTTTCTTTTTCTTTGAGCCATGGTCTTGCTAAGTTGCCCAGGCTGGGCTCAAATTTGTAATCTTCCTGTCTCAGCCTCCCAGAGCGCTGGGATTACAAACATGCACCACAACACCTGGCTAACAACCATTTCTTATGTCTTACAAATCTATTGGTCATCCAGGTCATGGATGTCTAGCCTGGGTTGGGGTGGGCTGGTCTGGGCAGCTTAGCTCTGCTCTGTGTGGTTTCTTGTTCTCCAGTCAGTGCCCAGACTGGTTCTCTAAACTGGTGCTGATTTCCTCTATCACCCAGCCTCCTGGAAAAAATCATGAGAGCCTACAGAGGAAACTCATCAAGCAATGACCCCCACCCACCCAGCCCTCAATATCGTGGAGTGTCTGGGAGTGTTGGTCTCCTGGGGTGGGGTTCACCTTGAGGCTTCTCCCAGCAACCTCTGGGCCAGGGTCCAATGGTCAGGTTTAGAGAGTTCTCCTTGGGGCATAGAAAGGTCGTCCTGTGTGGTCTCAGGCGCAAGCTGACTGCAGTTTCCTCATCAGAACATTGGGATCATCATCACAAAAATATCTGCCCAGCAACTCCTTAATCTGCTGTGGGATGGAAAAGATGCAGTGGTGTGACCATGATGGATGAACTACATCAGAAAAAGAATCGGCTCTTATTTCTCAAGGCTTTTAATTCTCTCCTGAGAAATAAAACAAAGCCATGCCCTTCCTTACATTTCCTCAGTTCTATTTTGTATCCAGGCTCATGTTGGGCTGTGGGACATGGATCTTGCAAAGCTTCTAGAATTGATCACAGATGCAAGAATATGTGTGCATCTTACACCAGGCAAAGGGGACTACTTGAGCAGAGGTCAGCGGTGGGAAGGTGAGGTGTTCCTCCTGAGAAATGCATTCTAGCTCAGGGAGTGCACTGTGTGTAGAGGAAGCCTACGAGATGAGATAGGTGTGTTCCAGCTGTGCCCAGATGTGAATAGCCCTGAGCATTAGGCTGATGGCAGTTGGGAGCCATAGAAGGATTCAAGCCCTAGAGGGTTGTTCTGTGGCCCCGAGAGAGACCTGTGACCAGGCCTCGTCCAGGGTGGGACAACAAGATGGGGAATAGGGCAGACAAGAGAACCCCTAAACAGAGAGGTTAAAGTAACACCATTCCTTATTTCTCTCAAATCTGTGAGTCAGCCAGGGATGGCTGTGTAGCCTTGGCTGGGCTCCACCACATGGGTGTCAGATGGGTGTCAGATGGGTGTCAGATGGGTGGGGCTTGGAAAGTGACAAAGAGGCGGTCCTGCTTTTGGTAAACAGAACATTTGAATTGCAAGATGAGGCATACAGAGAGGGGCAGGAAGAGCATTCCAAGCATATGAAGTAGCACATGCAAAGGCCCGGAGGCAGTGAGCTGGGGCAGAGTGAGTGTGGGTGAGAGCAGAAAGAGATGAGGTCAAACGGGAGGTGAGCACAGATCATGAAAGACCTGGAGGTGGTGGGGGAATCCAGATTTCACTCTGGTGCATTTGAAACATAATCTGCTTCCGCTCCAATCAGCACAGTGTGGGGGCGGGGCGGGGCTGTGAGTCAGGCCTTCAGGGAAGAGTGGCCTAGACTTGGCTGCACAGAGAGAGAGGGGGCAGAGGCTCCCCACTCTGCTTGCTCTGCTCCCATATCTGGGACCCCAGCCAGGCCTGGGATGCAAGTGTCCCCTGGCCCTGCCACTCCTTCCCAGGCTGCTGTGTGAGATGGAGCAGGTGGGGTGGGGGCTGCAGCTGCTGGGATCCTTCACTGTCCCTGTTTCCTCCAACAGTTTGAAGATGGGATCCTGGATATTTGCCTGATCCTCTTGGATGTCAACCCCAAGTTCCTGAAGGACGCTGGCCGTGACTGCTCACGCCGCAGAAGCCCCATCTATGTGGGCCGGGTGGTGAGTGCAATGGTGAGTGAGCCCAAGGCACCCCTGGGCTTCTCTCCCTTCGGGGACACAGGCTGTCCTCTGTGCTGGGCCTGGTGAGGGACTGAAGACAGGGGGTCTCGGCACAGGGCATTTGTGTTTGGAAAGACAAGATTTCCGCAAATCAGGCCAAAGCCATGTGATTCCCCAAAGCAACTCCATTCATTCATCAGCAAATATCTATCAAGTGCAGCCTGTGCCTAGGCACCAGGGCCACAGCTGGGCGTGAAACACGAGTGGTCCCTAAGTACGCAGGCTCACATGCTGGTGGGTGGCCCCTGCCACACCCCACAGCTTGGGGACTGTGTCACCTTCACCTCTGCCCTGCCCTTGACCCCGTGCTGTCCTCACCTGGGCCTGGCCCCATTGTCACCCTGAGCCCAGCTTGCTCACCCCCCGTCCCCGCCCCCGCTCTTGATTGTAGGTCAACTGCAATGATGACCAGGGCGTGCTCCTGGGACGCTGGGACAACAACTATGGGGATGGCATCAGCCCCATGTCTTGGATCGGCAGCGTGGAGATCCTGAGGCGCTGGAAGGACTACGGATGCCAGCGCGTCAAATACGGCCAGTGCTGGGTCTTCGCTGCCGTGGCCTGCACAGGTGGGCTGTGCACGGTGTGGGGGCTGCATCTGCCTTCCACCTCCCTGAGCCCCTAGACGGGCAGAGAGGGCTGCAGCGGGTATGGGGGACTTTGGCTCTGGTTCTGCCTGTCTCACTAAGGCCACAGTGTGCTGTGTGCCCAGGAGCTTGTGACCAGTCTTCTCTGGTCCTTTTTCCAAAAAACGACCTCTTGAGTGGTTTGTAGGATCAAAGGATATCATCATGTAGGAGATGGCGTGGACTCAGAGTTGGGGAATGAGCTCTGGAGCCAGGCACACCTGAGTTAAAAAATCCCCTGTGACCCTGGGCAAATGACCTTTTGTTGAACCTCAGTTTCTTCCCCTGTAGAACGGGGACAACAGCAAGACCTACCTCCTAGGGTGATGGCGCATAAAACTGCATAGTACAAATCTGGCCCACTGTAGCTGTAGGTGACAGTCATAGTAATAGCATCAATGTCAGGAAAGAGAAAGCATGTTCTAATATAGAAGGGAAAAGATTTGAAATCATAAAAGGAAACTAGATTTTTTTTTTTTAATTTTGAAAATTTAAGCCCAGAAAATGTTGACAGTTGGTCCAGTGTCCTCTGAGAACAGTGCTTCTGAGAATAGGCTAGCATCCTAAATGGGTTAAGAACAAACTGGCTGGGAGCAGTGGTGCTCACTGTAATCTCAGCTACTCAGCATCACAAGTTCAAGGCCAGCCTGGACAACTTAGTGAGATTTTTGTCTCAGTGGTAGACTACTTGCTTAGCTTCCACAAGGTCCTGCGTTTCATTTCTAGTACCACAAAAAAACAACTAAACCAAAACAAAACATAGATTCTGGAATCCAGACCTACATTCGAATCCTTCTCTACTTTTTCCCCCCCAGTATTGTGGATGGAACCCAGGGCTTTCACATGAGCTGCATCCTCATCCCTTTTTTACTTTTTTATTTTGAGATAGGGTCTCACTAAATCACTAAGTTGCCCGTGCTGTACTCAAACTTGAAATCCTCCTGCCTCAGCCTCCTAGAACACTGGGATTACAGTTGTGCACCAGCATGCCCGGCTCTAGCTCTGTTTCTTACCAGCAGTGTGTCCTTGGGTAAATCTCTTAACTCCCCTGAGTCCCGGTTCCATCTTTTTTTGTTTTGGTACTGGGAATTGAACTCAGGACCTCGTGCTTCCCAGGCAGGCACTGTGCAACTGAGTTACACCCCAGCCCCAGTTCCATCTTATGTAAAACGGGCATAATAATTGTGTCTTTATCCTGGGATACTTGTGAGGAACTCAAAATGATTTCAGGTACATAACAGCAAATACTTATATAGTGCTGCTGTTTAATACTATTGTTATTATTAATGGGCTCAGCAATTCTAACAGGCTGAGATCTGGGGGTCCCAGCTTTTCTGACTCTAGAACCAATGCTCGACCCAGAGAAGGGTCCACAGGAGGCCTCCAGTGTGTGACCCACTCCAGCAGGTGAGTGGGGGTGGACTGGCCAGGCTCCCAGCCAGGCTGTCCCCGTGCCCACCTCCCTCTGCCCCCTTATCCACCCTGGCTGCCTTCTTCCCTGTGACTGTTCATTTCCCCCTTCTGGTGGAAACTTCCACCCAGACTCTTCCTTCTTTGAGGCCTAAAACACATCCTTGTAGAGAAACCCCACAGTCGGGCTGGCCTCTGCCCCCAGGATCCCCTGCAGATGCCTTGTCACCTGGGCTATCACAAGGGTTTGGCAGCAGATCTGGCCTGCAGCTGTTCTGTGCTGTGCCCAGGTCCCTGCAGCTCCCTCCCAGGCTGATGTGTGACAGAACAAGGGAAAGCGTGGCCAAGCCCATGGTCCTGGCGTGGCCCTGAGCAGGTCAGGTCCCAGCTCTGTCTCCAGCCTCTGCTTGGACCAGCAGGAGAGCGGTGCTGTCTCTGAGCCTCAGTTTCCTCACCTGTGAAGTGCAGACAATAGCGATTGACCTGATTCCTAGGGACTTCTTAGGGCTAAAAGATGTCACCTAGCATGGTCTCTGGCTCAGGTAAGACTCAGGTTTGGGGGTCCCTAGGCAAAGCTGGGATTCTAGTATTCTTAGCTATTCCCCTGGGCATTTTCTCCACCCCCATGAGTCAGCCAACACCAGCTGGCCTGATGTCTGCCTTGATGGACACATGACATACTTAGCCATCCCAAAAGCCTCCTTAGTGCTGCCCTGGCCACTAGGCAGATGAGACTGCCCACACCCACAGCTTCTCTGTGAATCATCACAACATCCTGACAAGCTGCTATTCTTAGGTTTCTCTTACCAAGGGGGAAACAGGTTCAGAGAGGAGAAGTGCCTGGCCCAAGGTCACACAGCTGGAGAACAGTATAGTCAGGCTATGCACCAGGGGCTCCTGCTTCACAGCAGCCTTCTGGCCCCAGACTGTGATGATGAGGCCTCTTGGGACACCATTCTGGGGACAGGAGGGGTTTGGGTGCCTTGGCAGCAGAGACAGGCCTGTCGAACGTTGGACAAGGCCTGGGGGTGGGACACTCGCCTTGGCTGAGGGCAGCTGCAAGTCTGGCCCTTGTCCATTGCCCAAACAAGAGGTAGAAGGTCACAGCTGTGCCTCCCTCTCGCCACCCCCATGAGTCTCCTGCTCAGAATCCAGTCATCCGGGAAGCACTGGCCCTGGCTGATGCACAGGCCAAGGGTCACATCCCTACCCCTCTCCCTCCCAACTCCCATCGAAAGTAAAAGTAAAGCACAGGGCCCATGGAGGACGCTTTCACGTCACCTTTTAGATACTTTATCCTACTCCAAGAAAACCTCGTGTTTCTCGTAAACAGAAAGTGCACAAAACAGGAAGGGAGAAGAGCACCCATGGTTCTCCCCTGGGAGCACCCCCGCACACCCGGGTGGGCCCCTCCCCTCCCCCATGCGCTTTGCCTGGCCCAAGTGAGCTCAATCTCGAGATGCCAGTGAGCATCCCGTGTTTTTACCTACTGGTACATCAGCCTTTGTCCCAGTACACAGAGTGTTGGCATGAATGAGGGCCTGCCCAGGACCTTGACCTGCGCTGTGACCCTATAGAGTCACTTATTTTCTTTTTATATTGAAACGATGAGGAATAGCCGATCATGCTGTGAAGGCAGTGATGGCGCAGCCTAGACTGGACAGGGTGGCCTTCCGGGTGAAGGCAGCAGCATGTGGCAATGCCCTGGGGCTAGCAGGGGCATGGAGGCGAGTGTGGCTAGACCAAAGTGTGCAAGGAGGCTGTCAGGGGCCAGGCCCTGCAGGGTCAAAGGCCACAGCCAAGGGTCTGGCTTTGACCTCCATGGCCACGAGGAGCCATTGAAGATTTATCAGAAGAACGCTGATGTTATGTTTGCATCTTAGACTGCTGAAAAGGGAACGTGGTGGACATAGGGTGACCAGTAAGGTGGGCACTGCTGTCCAGGCAGAGGGGCTGGCACACGTCCTCACTGTCTGGATGGTGGGTACACTGCTCCCTGGGGTGCAGATGGGGCTCTGAAAGCCCAGGGCAGATACCCATCTGCAGGGCCTCGGCTGGTGGGCTAACCCCTCCCTCCTCCCTCAGTGCTGCGCTGCCTCGGGGTCCCCACCCGAGTCGTGACCAACTATAACTCAGCCCATGACCAGAACAGCAACCTGCTTATCGAGTACTTCCGCAACGAATCTGGGGAGACCGAGGGGAACAAAAGCGAGATGATCTGGTGAGGTGGGGCCTGGGCGGGCAGGTCTGGGGAGGGCCCTGGGGAGAGGACAGCTGGGAAGGCTTCGGGGAAGAGGTCACATTTGAATGACACAAAAGAGCGAAGCCGGTGTTTGGGCAGGGTCCGGGCCAGAAGCCTTCACAGAGGCCTGGGGGAGGGAAGGCCACAGCTACCTGGACGGGGTATGGAGGGAATCAGGCTGGAAGGTGCCAGGAGAGGGGTCTGGGCTGTGTCCTACAGCTTCAGTGCTCCCCACTGTGGACCATGGGGAGGTAGCGTGAGTGTGGAGGCCAGGCCCGAGCCAGGACCAGGCCTGTGGGCAGGGAAGGAAGGGATAGAGCCAAGAAGTTAGGAGGTCAGGCCAGCAGGACTGGGCTGGGAGCCACTGGAAGGGGCAGGAGGGAGGCGAGGAGTCGCGGCTACAGAGGAGGAGCTGCGAAGAGTGCTGGGGCCATGCTGGGACCAGAGCAGGGCGAGGCGAGTGTGCCTCTGAGGACCCCGGGCGGCCTGCCCGGGCAGGTAACAGTGAGGGTTGGCCATGATCTGCCTGGTTTCCCTGATAGGAACTTCCACTGCTGGGTGGAGTCGTGGATGACCAGGCCGGACCTGGAGCCCGGGTACGAGGGGTGGCAGGCCCTGGACCCCACACCCCAGGAGAAGAGCGAAGGTGGGTGGGCATGGCCCTGTCACCTGCTGAGGGATTGCAGCTGGAGAGTCCCGGAGGCTCGGTAGAGAGTGGCACAACTGAGATTCCAACCCAGAAACTATGGACCGGGCCACATGTGTGTATGTGTGGGGGTCACTTAGGGTTTCATAAGACACGATTTTTATACCTTGAAAAGTAATGCATACGCATCATGGGAAATGGAAAATATGAAGAAACATAAAGGAAAAAATTCAATAACTTCTCCATCCTCCCCCTAAAATCAGACTCGTTTTCATTTCCAAGTAGCTTCCAGAAATTTCAAATTAAATATTTGTGTGCCTGTGTCTGTGTGTTTAGAGAGAACACAAGCAAAATTTGGTAAAGCACATGGACCCTTTCTCATTCAGTTTTTAAATACATAGAATATAATCCATAGGGTTTCAAAAAAACCAAAGTTAATAACTTTCAATACAAATTTTTAAAAGGCTGTGCATGGTAGTGCACACCCGTAATCCCAGCACTTTGGGAGACTGGGACAGGAAGATCACAAGTTCAAGCCCAAGCTGAGCAACTTTGTGACTGTCACAAAATTTTAAAAACATTTTTTTTAAAGCACTGGGGACATAGCTCAGTGTAAAGGCCCTGGGTTCAATCCCCAGTACTGAAAAAAATAATCTAAAAAGTACATGTAGGATATACAATATATGCTTACTTTTTAATATAAGAAGCCCTAGTGGGGTTGTAAGTCCCATAATACAGTGGAGGAGATGAGCAGAAGGGACATCACCTGTGAAAATGCCTGTGGGTTTTTTTTTTGGTACCAGGAATCGAACTCAGGGCCTTGTGCTTGCCAGCAGGTGCTGTGCCACTGAACTACATCCCTGGCCCATGTGTTGCCTGCTTTTGAATCCAAGGACATCCTGCCAGAGTGTGGTGGATTAAGGGTGTTGTTTTTTCCCCCATGAATTCTGCAGGTGGCACCTTGCAGGTCGGTGCATGATGGTCAGAACTCTGGCAGCAGCTGGCCTCTTCCGGGTCTGCCCACTCCTCATTGCCTCCTTAGCATTTCTTCTTCCGATGGTTTTCTGTGATTTTAATTCAATTTCATGTCCCTACGTTTTACCATGAGGATGGGCTAGAATACATTTGCCACACCTCTAGTCTCCAACATGGTGCTGGGGACAGTGTGAGGCTGTCACAAACCGCATTTCGGTAAACATCTGGCCCTTGGCTCCCTCCGGCCAAGCAGGATGGAGTGCTGACTTCAGCCCCTCACAGCAGCTGCCCACTGCTTGGCTCTGAGGTTTCCTTAGGTTTCCTTGGGACGTGCTTCTTTTATTTATCCAGTACTTGCAGAGCATCTAGAGTGTGCTCAGAGTTTTCCATCTATCACTCGGGTCCTCCTGGGGGGTCCAGGGATTATCCCCAAGTGAAACTACAGCTCAGACAAGTGAAAGTTTGCCCCAAAGTCACACAGCTCACAGGAAACCAAGCTAGAACTGAACCCTAAATGTCAGCCTCCAGAGACCCTCTTCTGACCCCTCGCCCCCGGTGCCCTCCTGGGAGTGGAGTCCCCAAGACAAAGGGCTGCATGGGCTTGAGGTTTTCTGCCTCGTGTGGTTGAATCCTGGAGGGTTTGATGCCACCGTCCCCACAGGCCTGCCCACCTCTCCCTCCTACCCCAAACAGGGACATACTGCTGCGGCCCAGTCCCAGTTCGTGCCATCAAGGAGGGCAACCTGAGCATCAAGTACGACGCACCTTTCGTGTTTGCGGAGGTCAACGCTGACGTGGTGGACTGGATCCGCCAGGAGGATGGGTCCCTGCACAAGTCCATCAACCATTCCCTGGTCGTGGGGCTGAAGATCAGCACTAAGAGTGTGGGCCGTGATGAGCGGGAGGACATCACCCACACCTACAAGTACCCAGAGGGTAGGACCACACGCAGAGCCCTGCCACGGCCTTTCAGATGGGTGCCTGGTTTCACCAGCCTGGCAGGCCTGCGCGCGCGTGTGTGTGTGTGTGTGTGTGTGTGCATGTGCGCATGTGTGTGGGAGAGAGATCTGGCAACCTATATACATCAGTGACCTGTAGGTTACATTCCATTTTAAGAAATTTCTTAGAAACCAGTGCAGACACTGGGGGACAGTAGTAGAGGATGATTTGTTTTGGAAAAGAATTCTATCTATATTCTCAGAAGGATTCCACCTGGTGTTTTAAGCCTCACTTTTCTGCTTGGTCAGACTCTTCATAAAACTGAAAGGGATAGCTGATCTTCAGCAGGGGCAGGCATCTCAAGAGAAACATTGATAACATCCTGGCTGCAGGGGTTCCCAACCTTTTTGGCACCAGGGACCGCTTTCATGGAAGATAGTTTTTCCAGACTGGGGGAGAGGTGTTTTCAGGGTGATTGGAGGAATGCACAACCTAGATCCCTGAAGTGCAGAGCTCACAGTAGGGCTCCAGCTCCTAGAGTCCAACGAATGCCCCAGCTGATCAGCAGGCGCAGCTCAGATGGGGTGATGGGGGCGCTGTACTTGCAGATGAAGCTTCCCTTGCCTGCCTGCTGTGCAGCCCAGTTCCTAGCAGCCCACAGACCCGGTACCAGGTGGGGTCCCCTGCATGTTGTTTAGTAACATATTTGTCAGGAGCAGGACCTACAAGTACAGATGGACGATGCTTTTTTATTACAATGTGCTTGAAAATCCAGAGAGGCCACAGAGGAGACTTTGCGGGAACATGGCAGTGTTTATTTTTGCAGCATTTGACACGCAGCTGGGAAGTGAGCGTGGAGGACGGGGAAGGGAGAAATTAAGGAGAAATTGGCCAAGGAAAACTTCACATTAGTAAGACAGGTTCAGTCTGACACAGAATGAGGCTTCTTTCTGGTACTAATGTTAAAATCAACAGGGAAAAGGGAGTCTTTTAGAAGTTGGATTGGGAACGTCCACCAGCCCACTCAATACCATAGAGATTTCCTAAGTATCAACTGTGAACCAGCCTTGCCTGAGCTCATAAGAGGGCTGAGAAATTCTAATCCCTGCCCTGGTCTGACCATCCTGACTTTCCATGGCTGACTGAGGGCTGGGTAGTATATGATCAGGCTTCAGCTGGAAAGGATGATCAGAAGAGGAGGTTTTCCCTGGCGTTTGAGAGTCCAGAGCTGATGGTTCGATAGAAAAATAGTTATGCTCCATTAGTGAGCCCGTGGGTGGGGGAGTGTAAGGCACACAGGAAAGGGGGAAACAGAATATGACGAAGGGAGCAGCCATTTCCACTGGAGAGCTGAATAAGTAGAGAAGAGGAGGGAAAGGATTTCAGGTGGAAGTAACTCCTGTGCAAACACTTGCAGGTGAGAATGTTCACACTGTATTCATGCCTGGTATGGATGAAGAACTATTATGGGCACTAAGTATGACATAGTGGCACATAAAACACAATTGTACCCTTCAAGCAGCTTGAGGGAGTAAACATAAAAATATAAAACAACCCGGGGAAGGAATAATCAGTGAAACTTTTGGAAGAGGAGTTGTATGGGCTGGGTTTTGAGGGATAAGTAGGAGGTCACTTTTGGACAATAAATAAGATACATTTTTCTCCTCCTGGCACAGAAATGTAGAGGAGGGACTCTTTGATGGCTGCTGTATTCCAGCTGTGACTGTGGCTCTCATCCCTGTCCCTGCAGGGTCTGAAGAGGAGAGGGAAGCTTTCACAAGGGCCAACCACCTGAACAAACTGGCTGAGAAGGAGGAGGTAAAGGAGGAAGCACAGGTGGACATGCGGATCCGCGTGGGCCAGAACATGAATATGGGCAGTGACTTTGATGTCTTTGCCCACATCAACAACAGCACCGCTGAGAGCAGAGACTGCCGCCTCCTGCTCTGCGCGCGCACTGTCAGCTACAATGGGGTCCTGGGGCCGGAGTGTGGCACCAAGGACCTGCCTGACCTGACCCTGGATCCCTTCTCGGGTAAGGCTGTGAGCATGCTGGGATCAGCTGGCCATGTGTCAGGTGGCACCCTGAGCGCCAAGCGCGATTCACCTCACAGACATTTATGTGCACTTACTCTGGGTCGGCCCTGTGCTAAGTGCCTCATACATATCACCATCTAATTCTTAAAACGAAAATGAGGGAAAACAGATGTGCAAAAGGTTAAGCAGCTTTCCTGAGGTCACATAGGAAGCAACAGGACTGTGCTTTAAACCTGTCTGCTCCATAACTATATTATTTTGTCTTATCTCATCTCCCCATGACCCCTGCCAACTTTCCCAGACCCTCTGCTCCCTTCTCCTGGCTAATTCCTTTCCTTGGCTTCCTGCTCCTCCCACTCAGGTGCCTCCCACTGCCCTGAAAGCACCTGGCCTCAGAGAGAGGAGGCTCTGGATGGGCACTGCCAATAGAACTTCCATCCAGGATGGAGAGGGTCCAAACCTGTGCTGTCCAGGATGGTGGCCACCAGTGCTGGGTGGCTGCTGAGCCCTGGGATCAGGCCTCCTGCAACTGCAGAGCAGAAGCTTTAATTTTATTGCAGGTTATGTAGTGCCTTGGCTGGAAGCAGCGGTATTGGACACAGCAGGCCCAACAACACGAGGAGAGGACATCCGGCCTCTGAGGCAGAGGAGGCCTACCCCTCCAGGCAGACCCTCTTCCCTGGGGAACAGTGACATTAGACCACCCAGCCCTAGCCCTGGGCAGTGTCCTTGTCACTCAGGCTTCCAGGCCCTGTGCCTGCACAGTTCCCCCTTGAGTCCTTAGGCTCTCTGGCACTGTCACTGTGCCTGGTTGTCGTCCTGAAATTATTTTTGGCCCTGTAGTCACATGTGGAGGTGGCGGAGAGCCAGGCTTAAGCCCAAGGCCAGCCTGACACTCCGAACAGCCCCACCCCATTTTCTCCCCTTGGGAGCCAGGAGAGCAGGCAGGAGAAGAGCAGAGGGTCTTGGAGCTGGGAGCTGTCATGTAAGGCCCCGGCCATCCTCTAAGGGGCAGTGTGACCAAGTGGACTGTCATCCCTGTCACTGGGCAGAGGGCAACCTCTCCGCACCTCAGTGTCCCCAGCAGGCTTGTGGGGATCGTGAACTGACAGAGTAGGTTATGTAGGCAGCAGATGCTCAGTCTGACCACAGCCAGAGGCAGAGAGCTCAGGGTGGGTGTGCTCCGTGTGCACAGCCTCTGTCACCCTCCCTCGTCCTCCCCTCCTGCCTGCTCTGGGCTGTGGCTTCCAAGTCCCTGCCACTCTGATCACAGGGAAAAGACTCAGTGGTCTTCTCTGCGTCTAGAACCCAAGAGCCAGTCAGGGTCCATCCCTACAGTTGTGTAGGGCACTCACGATGCCCACGTTCTGCTTCTGTAATCTTCGGCTGCCTGTGGCACTGGGGACTTCGGAGTCCAGGTACAGGGAAGTTGTGCAAGGCCAGTTGACCTGTCAAAGGTCCTTCCACCCCCTTTGAGTACACACCTGTTCACATCTACTGTGCTCAGCACCTGCCGAAAGGGAGGATGGGGTGAGGGAGGACAGGAGGACATGCCTCTCCTGGAATGTGTGGCCATGTGGTGAACCCCAGGCCACGGGTGCCGAATACCTTCCTCCAGGCCCCTGTGGAGTCACCTCTGCCTCACAGATACCATCCATGAGCTCTTAGGTCTGCAGGGGCTTCAGCCAGGCCTGTCAGGGATATGCTCAGTAGAGCATCCTTCCTGCTGGGGACCCCCAAAGCCTGTGAGGAGAGGGCAGGGCAAGGGGCCTGTGTGTTGCTCTCTAGCTGGAAGCAGGGCCAGTCCAGGATGCCTTGTCTGGTTCTCCAATGCCAAGGTCAGTCTGACCTCCCACACTTTGGCTGCGTCCTTGTTGCACTTTGATGATAAGATCTGGGGATTTCCTGGAGCTAATGGATAGGAACCCAGGCCCAGGACAGGAAACAGTAATCTACTCATCCCCCACCCCTGCCTCAAGTTCAGCAGTTTCTCTCTTCCCCTTCCTGCCCCCAGCCTTCCCTCTCTCTCCTTTCTTACCCCTTCAGGTGGGTCACTGGGTTGGCAGCCAGTGTGACCTCAGGGACCATCCCCAGGATGGCTTCTAGAACCGTGCATATTGTCCAATTAATGATTGAGACTGATCACAGATGTCCCCCACCCCAGCCAACATGTGGCCCAAGGCCAAGGCAGTGGTCAGCCACCTGTGAACGGCCGCTCGCAGAGGTCCAGCCCTGCCCTGCCTTCCACCTCCTGGAAAAGGCCCCAGTGAAGCCACATCCTCCAGGATCCTGAAGGACAGTGTTTCCTTTCTTGTGTGGCTGCTCAAAGTTTCCACTCCATTCTACCAAGCCCCGAACTAGTCATTTTCACTCCCTTTTGTCCTTTTTGGCACAAAAGTCTGGTTTTCTCCCCCAGATCACGTCATCTGAGCAGAGGCGGAGCAGGTCCACCCAGGAATGAAGGTTGGAGGCCAGGGCTGCACTTTCCAGAGTAGGCTGTGGTCACCAGCTTCTCAGGCAGGCCTAGACCCTGAACCGCATGTGACTGTCCTCATGGTCCCATCGGTCCCCACAGGACCTGGTGGAGAGGTCTCAACCGGTGCTGATTGGCTTCTGGGAGCCCTAAGCCTTACTGAGCTCTCATTCATTGAGATGTTCAGGTCTCAGCCCCTAGCAGGGAACAGTGTCTGGCCAGAACAGAATAAGCGTGACTGTTTGCTTGTATTTATTTTCACCAGGGATCCTCTGTTTATGGTGAGACTAGCTTGCTGTAAATAATGATGAAAAGTTTCTCCAACGGGAAAAAAAAGTTAAAAACTATAAAGCAGGGCCGGGGATTTAGTTCAGTGGTTTCGCCGCCTGCTGCTCAAGCGCAAGGACCCGAATTCGATCCCCGGTACCAAAAAAAAACAAACAAAAAACTATAAAGCAAACCAATTTAAAGAAAAAAATGCACATATAATGAGGATGGACACAGAAGTGTGAGAAATTGTATCTGGTTGGGGTTTGTAAGTTGCTGGTCTGGCATGGGGAGGTGGGGACGGAAGGAGGACACCACACGCATCTGCAGTCTTTCTCATCCCCTCATCCCTGTGTGGCTTTGTTTTGAAATGACCCCAGTTGCAACTCCACCCAGCAAATGCTGGATGTCGCCAGGAACAGAGTGAACAGAGGGACAACAGAGAGGGGAGGTCACCTTCCCAGGCTGGGCAGCTCTGATCTGAGCACTTCCCAGCAGGCTTGGGAGCAACTCAGTGCCCAGGTGCTAAAACAGAGTTCCTGAGAGGTGGAGTCAGAACCTAGGCCTGTGGGCGCTGGAGCAAGGGGCCCTCCTGCCTCCTGCTTCCCCTCCCTGGGAACCCTGGAGCGGAAGCAGGCAGGGGAGGCCTGGGACTGGGCTGCCTGTGCAGTGCGTGTGACCTTAGGCACATTCCTGCCTCAGAGGAAGGGCAGGAGTGGACCCGGCCCTCACAGCACCTCTCTCTCCCTCCCGCAGAGAGGAGCATTCCTCTGCACATCCTCTATGAGAAGTACAGCGACTACCTGACCGAGTGCAACCTCATCAAGGTGCGGGGCCTCCTCATCGAGCCAGCAGCCAACAGCTACGTGCTGGCTGAGAGGGACCTCTACCTGGAGAATCCAGAAGTGAAGATCCGCGTAAGGACAGCCCCACCCATGACACATCCACATCCCTGTGCACAACTCAAGGTCTTTGGGCCTTGGGTCTCCAAGTTGTTGGCTCAGCCAAGAAGAGCACCAAGAAGCTAAAAGAATTTAGGGGTTTTATCCCCTAGGAATGAATCCTAGAGTGGTAGATGGTGGGTCATGGAATTTAGGGTCTTACACTTGTGACTCCTTAGATTGCTGAGCTCCAAGGCTGGACTCCCAGGCCCTTGGTGGTGCTCGTGAGGCAGGGAGGGATGGCCACGTAAGGGCACAGACCTGAGTCAGGCCACCCGGGTGAGTGCCCGGGTGACCCTGGGTGTGTTACTTCACACACTCTGCCTCAGTTTATTCATCTATAAGACAGGGTTCATGTTGGTAGGTAGGGGTGCTTTAAGGACTAAAAGTGCACCCGCAGGAAGCTCTTAGGACCACACAGCACATCAGAAGGACTCAGTGAGAGCTGACACTGCCTAGCATCATCACCAGCATCCCTGCCATTTGCTAATGGGCACCCCAGGCCCAGAACCCCCAGTGCAGGGAAGAGGCAGGAGTGCATGCGGGGAACTTATGCATCTCAGCTCAATCCAATGAGAACCTTCAGTCAGCCAAGGCTCAGAGAGGGCCAGACTTCCCCAGGGTCATACGGTGAAGAAAGTAGAGGTCAGCATGACTCCAAAGCCTGGGATCTGTACATGCCAGCCCCTAGAACAAGGGAGGCATCTTGTACCTCCATCCTAGCAGCCTCATTACAGTTCCATGAAGGTATGTGCCTGTGCTTTCCAGATGAGGAAACTGAGGCACAGAGGCAGGGAGTGATAGTGGCAGAGGTGGGTGTGCCTTTGTTCAGCAAACCCTGAGCCAAAATGTGCCAAGTACAGAGGTGGACCATCCTGGACCCACACTCTCCCCTGACCCCACCCTACACGTTCTCCCAGGTCCTAGGGGAGCCCAAGCAGAACCGCAAGCTGGTGGCGGAGGTGTCCCTGAAGAACCCGCTCCCTGTGCCACTGCTGGGTTGCATCTTCACTGTGGAGGGCGCTGGCCTGACCAAGGAGCAGAAGTCCGTGGAGGTGTAAGTGCTGGTTGCTCCATTTCAGGCAGGAGGAAGAGGCAGGGCTGCCCCAGGCGTGAACCCTGGCCTGGAGTTCACCTCTCATCTCCCACACCTGCACTGCCTCCACCTCAAGCACCCCAGGCCAGGGCTCCCTCTTCCCAGCCCGCTGTTAGCTGTGGTGTGTGCACCAGTTTATACACACCTGGAGAGTGACACATTCCACCACCTAGCACCCACCTGCAAACACACGAGTCTTCACACACTCAGGTGTCCACACTCCGAGTGGTCACATGTATGTATGCACACATGGAAGTGTGGAGTGTCCTCACCAATAGGTATCCACATGCAGACCCACATATGGGCACACATTTTATTGATTTATTTATTTTATTGCAGTACTGGAGGTTAAACCCAGAGAGTACTGAGCTCCATCTCCAGCTGTTTTTTGACTTTTTATTTTGAGACAGGGCCTTGCTAAGTTGCCCAGGCTCAAACTTTCAGTCCTCCTGCCCCAGCCTCCCACAGGCTGGTGGTGAACTTCAGGTGCAAAAAGCTGAAGGCAGTGAAGGGCTATCAGAATATCATCTTCCTGACCATTCCTCCCTCCCAGTCCTCCTGCCCCAGGCTCCCAAGTAGCTAGGATTACAGATATGTGCCACCAGGCTTGGCAGGCGCATGCTTCATATTTTTAGATTTTTTTCTGCAGTGTATGTAAGGGACACAAATCATGTACATACAGCTCAAAGTATTGTCACACATGTGCCCATGTGAACATACCCACTGCTACCCTCAAGTACACCATCCACTTTCACACTCACAGGAGCACACATTTACACACACACACACACACCTCACTCTAGGTTTCTGCCAGGGTGACCCTGGGCGTGTTACTTCACACACTCTGCCTCAGTTTATTCATCTATAAGACAGGGTTCATGTTGGCAGGTAGGGGTGCTTTAAGGACTGAAAGTGCACCCGCAGGAAGCACTTAGGACCACACAGCACATCAGAAGGACTCAGTGAGAGTTGACACTGCCCAGCACCATCACCATCCAGGGTGATGGTCCAGGCCCATTTATTATTGCTGGCAATAGCTCTATGTGCATGAAGACTCGGTAGCAAGTCCTTGTAGGTGCTTGGTGTTCACATGTCACCCTGGCCCTTCCTCACACTCTCCGTCTCTCTGCAGCCCGGGCCCCGTGGAATCAGGGGAGCAGGTGAAGGTGCGGGTGGACCTGCTGCCGACAGATGTGGGCCTCCACAAGCTGGTGGTGAACTTCGAGTGTGACAGGCTGAAGGCGGTGAAGGGTTATCGGAATGTCATCATTGGGCCCCCGTAGGGAGCCCTGTGCCCAGCCCCGCCTCAGCCTGCTGGAAACCCCCAACCAGCTCTGGTCTTTCTCTCAAGCTAATGGGCAAAACTTGTCGCTTAGGGCGGGGGTGGGCTGTGTGGGGGCTCTTTGGAATGGAATGTGCTCCCCGCCCATCTTGTCTCTCTGAGCCTAGCTCCCCACCAGCCCCCTGTGCCAACACAGTGGGCATCCTGATCTTGGCTGACTGGAGCTGGGGTGTGAGAGGGGGTCCCTCCAGGTCCTCAGGAAGGAGACCCCTGGGTGCCCACCACAATGCCAACAGCCATAGCTGCCCACCTGGTCAACCAGCAAGGTCAGCACCCCGGCACAGCCCTGGCCCCTGAGGAAGCTTGGGGAGCCCATGGGTTATCATCTCCGAGTTTATCCCTGCACTCTAAGTGATCAGGCCTCCCTCGAGCTGAAAGGATGGCACAGTCTCTATTGGGGGTGAGGTACAGCCTCTGGGGCCCCTGAAGTCCCAGAAAGAGACAGGGAAAATCACGTTGATGCCTTTAAAACTTTCTGCTTTGCACGAAGGAGAACCACAGAATGAGCCAATATGGGTATGAGCTATATAAATACAGCCCTGTTTCTCTGTAGTTTTATATAAAAGCTTTCAGATTCCTAGCAGGCAATAGATGTGCTTTTGAACCACAAGGAGCAAGCACTGAAATAAAAATTTATTTTTCACATGGAAACAAGATCTTGTCTTGTCCTTTGTGAGCTTTTGAGGGAGGTAGGAGGGAGAACACACATCCCCAGGCTTAAACTTCACTGGCATTCAAGGCTGTACACAGTCCAGCTGCATCTTTAGCCCCTGCCACCAACACAGTGTGTTGGGCCACAATGAATTTCTTGTAATCCCTGGACATCCTGTGCCTTTGTCTCCCTCTTAGCCTCTGCACATGTAGTTCCCTGAGCCTGGGGTGTCCTTCTTCTTCCTGATCTGTTGGCAAACTCCTCCTCATCCTGGAATGCCCAATACCAAAGTCACCTCTTCAATAAAGCCTTCCCTGATTTCTTCTCCAGCCCCCAGAGTCCTACAATAAGGAACAACTCTTATCACAGTGAATTTAATTCTGTTACGATCTCGGTCCCCTTTCACAACCTTCCTGAAGTCCTCAAGGGCAGGAACCAAATATCTCTTAAATAGACGCTAATGAATGCTGAATTGGAGAACCAATGTGTCTCCAGACCAGTGGTGAAAAAAAGAAATATAGCATAAGTCACAAATGCAAGCCACGCATGTAATTTAAAAAGCCAGGCACAATGGCACACACCTATAGTCCCAGCTGCCTAAGAGGCTGAAGCAGGAGGATACTTTGGGCCCAGGAATTCAGGATTAGCCTGGGCAACATAGATCTTCCCTCTCTCTTTAAAAACAAAACCAAAAATTTTTCTAATAGCCATAATTAAAAAGAAAAAAATTAGCTTTAATAATGTATTTTATTTAGCTCAATATGTCAAAAATAGTATTATTTCAACTTGTAATCAACACAAAAATTGCCAGGGAGATATTTCCCTTTCTTGTTTTCATGCTGAGTCTTTGAAGCGCTGTGTGTATCTTACATTGATGCCCACCTCATTAGGATTAGCTCTGTTTCCAGGGCTCAGTGGCCACAGGTGGCTGGTAGCAGTCGTGTTGGGCTGCACAGGTCTTGACTGTGATTCATGAGTGTAAAGACTTGGTCATTCATTCATTCCCCACCTATGAGGTGAATGAATGTCATCGGATGAATAGATGTTCAGGAACAGTCATGCAGAAGGACAGACACAAATACAAGAACCCTACCTCACCTTTTCTAGGCATCAAATCCTCTGTTCCCTGAGCACTACATGCTCGCTGACACTGACCTGGGTGGCTCAAGGATTGGATCCATCAGTGAGTGGCTGGAAAACCAAAACCAGCTGGCTATTTCAGGCAGAGAATGAGTTCATAAGGGAAACTGACTCTCAAGGCATTGGAAGGGGAGGAGGAGCTGGGGGGAGATTGTGAGACCCAAAAACCTGGAGGCTGCAGTGAAGCCCACGAGCTGGCCTCAATGCTGGAGTGCCACCTCAGTGGCCCTGCAGCCAGCACAGTGGCTGGCAAGGCCAGACCCTGCCACAGTGAGCTGCACCAGGGCCAGAGGCAGGTTGGCCTTGCCCGGCCTCCTGCCTTCTCTGCACTAACAGATCCTCACCAGAAACCAGCTGGAAAAGGGCTCTGGAAAATGTCACTTTCCAGCTTCCACCCTCTTGGAAAGCAGAGGTGGCTAGGCCAGAGCAGAGATGGAGTGGCTCGTGCTTCCTGCCATCCCTTCTGCTAAAACACCCCTCCCCTTATCTCCACTCAAGGAGCTCCCACTCAGCCTTCAAAACCTGCTCCAAGGAGGGTTCCTCTGTGAAGCCTTCCTGGATTGCAGCAAAATGCTTCGACCTCTGGTTCCACTCAGCATATCTTAGAAAGCCCTTTACAACACTTGGTGGCCAGGGCTGGGAACAGCCATTTGTGTGCTGCCTCATGCTCTGGAGTCCCCCAAGGGCAGGAACAGGGAACTGCCAATTTTAGCTCCCACCCAACTGCCGCTGTGGAGAAAGAAGGGGCAGGACCACCCCAGCCGGTCGGTCTGATAAAGCTAGAGACGCAGAGGTCTCTGCCAACCCAGCCCCAAGCCTGACTTGTTCGCATGTGAAAATAAACTCTCGTATTTCAGGGCCTGCTCTTTGTGGTCCAAAAGCACATTCAGTGCCTGCTTAGAACGCTAAAGCTTTGACAAAACCAAACAGATCCGTATTTACACAAACAGAACCGTGTCAGCTCATTTTATGATTCTTCCCCCTTAAGTCCTTCTCTGGTATTCAGGGGCCCCAGAGGCTGTGTTGCTCCCCCTACTTTATAGATAAGGAAAAGGTTAAACAATTTGCCCAGGATCACACAGCTCATAGGATACAGAGCTCAGACTTGACCCAGGCAACTGCCATCTCCAAGGCAGGGCTCAGCCCAGAGGCCCCCAGTCCTCCTGCATTGTCCTCTCCCACCAGGTCCACAGCTAGTGGGGCAGAGGCCTTCATATAAGCCTGGCAGCCCTCATGGAATGGGATCTGGTTGGGTCCACCTCCCGCCCCCAAAGGCGTTCTCTTCTCCAGCTGCTTGTGTTTGCTCAGGATGCCTGCCAGCTCACCCCTCAGCCTCATGCCAAGCCCAGAATAACAGAACAGTGATGGAGACTGGGAAGGAGGCGCCAAGGGTGGAGGGCTGAGCCCGGCCTCCAAGAGTGCATTTACCTTGGGGCCAGGACTGGGGCAGAACATTCTCTCCAGGCCTCCATGCTTCTCCCCCAGCAGGCCTGGGCAGATGCAGAGACACGCGCCGAGCTGGGCATTTTGATTCCATTTATAGGAAATGTCTAAAACAGACAAATCTATAGAGACAGGAAATAGATCAGTGGTTGCCTAGGTCCAGCAGTGGTGGCAAACTTTTTAGAGCTTTCAATGAGATAAACAGCTGGCTGTGACACTCATGCCATAGGTTCACCACCATTGGCCCAGGGGATGGAGGAATAGGGGAAGAAGAGTGGTGACAACTGGGGTGGGCCGGTGAGGTTTCATTTCAGAATAGTGAAAATGTTCTAATGAGGTGATGGATGTACTATGTACTAGAAGTCATTGAATTGCACACTTTAAAAAGCTGAACTGCAAAGTATGTGAATTGTATCTTAATAAAGCTGTTTTAAAAATAATTAACAATGAGCAGTAGAAAGAAAGAAGGTTGAGCCACAGACTGTCAGACTGGGATTCAGACTCTGGAGATCTGTCTGGCTGTGCTCAGTGACTGTGCATAAATGTCTTCCCTTCTCTAGTCCTTAGTTACTCCTGCTGTCAAATGACAGAGGATTCGGGGCAGAGGAGCTCCATGGTGCCATTGATCTAGGCACGTGGTCAACACTACACAAGTTGTCCACAATCACATCTGCTCCTTGCCCACCCCATGAAACCATGGAGGCTTCCAGAGGCTGAGTAAACCTAATGATTCACAGGGGCCTGTGCAGTTATCTCTGGGATGGCCACTTGCAGGCCATGTTTCAGCAAGGTGCTTTAGAAAGGCAGAAGGGGGCTGGGGATTTAGCTGAGTGGTTCCACCACCTGCCTTGCAAGTGCAAGGACCCAAGTTTGATCCCTGATACCAAAAAAAAAAAAAGAAAAGAAAGACAGAGGGCTACCTCTCCAAACATCACCCACTGTGCGCTTAGTTCCCAATTGCATGGTCTCAACTCCATGTCAGCTCATTCCCAGGTCAGCCTGGAGCAGACAGACAGATAGGCAGGCAGGCAGGCAGACACACAGGCCAACAGAGATCAAGAAGAAATACAAACCAGGTCAGTCAAAGTAGAGATCTGCTCTACTTTGGTAACTCCTTTTACAGATGGAGAAACTGAGGCATGGGTGGGGAGGGGCAAGGACGGAACCCAAGCCTGTCGTCTTCCCTTTCATCTTGACCAGACCTGAGTGCTCACTGTGTGGTTATCCTGAAGTGCTCCTTGGAAGGGACAGCAGTGGCCCTGTGACCAAGAGTAGCACAGTCCTAGCTCCCCGCTGCTTTCTTGCTATGTGACTTTGAGGAAGCCACTCACCCACTCTAAGCCTCTGTCACACTGGAGCTCCCAGTCCCCCAGTCCCTGTCCTGTTACCTAACCCAAGGCTGTGATTACAGAAAGGAAATGGCCTTGTAAACCAATGGAAGCTCAGAATCTGGGGGAGCTCCAGCTACAACTTAGAGAGGTGATATCCAGGTGGGAGGCCGAAGCTGAGGCTGAGGCTGAGACCAAGGCTCGTTTATCTAACTAAGTCCTACAATGGAGTAAGCAGGGAGGAGGTCGCTGTTGAGTCCAACTAAGCAGTGAGGGTGGCCTGGAGTCCCCATGTTGGGACTCATAAGGAGTGTTCCACGTAGGGAGGAGGTCATATTGTTCTCAGGCGGGGATGGATCAGAGATACACAGAAACTTATTCATTCAACATCTTTTTTGCCCCTAACATGAGTGAGTGCTATCTTCATCCCTAGGGAGACAGGAGTCACCATGGCAGGCTTATCCGACAGAGCATTCAGCATTCAGCATTTCCATTCATGGGGTGAATGGAAATGAGCCAGGAAGGACTAGCCTAAGAATAAAGTAGATATCACAATGATCCTGAGAACCAAGCACTTTTTTAAGTCTTTGCACACATGGCTGTTCTGGGGCCTCCCAATGAAGCAGAGCTAGTGTCACCATCCCCACTCTATAGCCAAGGAAACTGAGGGCCAGGCTATATGACAGCCCCAAAGTCACACAGAACATGGTGGAGCCAGGATGCCAACCAGACAGGCTGGGTCCACAGTGGTTGCTCCTAATTTTTTGCTCTGTTGTCATCTATCAACCAACATGGCCTCACAAAACAAGAGGGCATCAGACAAGAGGTCAGGGGAGATTCTTTAGGAAACCACTATGGAAGCTGAGAGCCTAGGCGGGGCAACCAGGTGGGAGAGGGGAATCTGTGAGCTGGGGCTGGGGAGGGGAGCAGAAGGGAGGGCCTGGCAGAGCCCACTTCCCAGGAAGTTGAGGATTCAAAGCTTCAGGAGAGCCATTTGCTTGGGCGCTATGTTGGGACTCATAGGGAGTGTTCCGAGTGGGGAGGAAGTCACATTGTTCTCAGATTTTGGAAGGAGGTATTTCTGGGAAGTC